AAAAACATGCACCATATACACACCCCCTCTTTCCCCCTCCTTCCAACGTACTAATAAGCCCAGGCAGCTTTTAATAAAATCTTTACTATTATTTTACAATCTACTTTTACAATTATTCCTTAAAAAGGCACTGCCACCCGCCCTCCTGGGTACCTATCTACGTGCGCACTACCTTGTTCAGAAGCGCTGCGGCGAAGGGCAGCGGCATCTCCGCCATCTCCATCTCCAGCGACCCCGCCAACCGCACGTACAGCCCCAGGTCGGCCTCCAAGCCCCGCCGGGCCTCCGGCGTTACGTCCGCACCCGCCAGGGCGGCCACATCGCTCACACCGAGAGACAGCAGACCACCACCGCCGGCACCTTTCTCGCCACCTGGCCTCGCCACTGTGGCTGCTACAGCCGCCGCCGCCGCTGCTGCTGCTGCCGCTGCTGCCCGGTCTGCTGCCGGCTGTAGCACCTCGAGGATGCGGGACAGGGCTCGCTCCATTTGCCGCTCCTCGCGAAGTCGCCTGGCGTGTTTGCCTGGAAGGGTGCGAGTAGGAGTGTATGTATGTACGTATGTATGTAAGCATGCAAGTGCATGTGTGGGTGTTTGTGGAGAGCTGCAGGAAATTGCATCGGCTGCAAAAAGTGGCTTTTCAATGAGCTCTTCAAGTGCTGACGCCGAAAGCCGCGATGTCCACATGTGCCACATCAGTGCGACGAATCGGGTTAGGAGGGATAGGACTGAGTGGAGGGAAAACAAAGTATATACGACATCGTCGTACCATTTGGGGTTACCACCGTCCCCAGGAAGGGCCGTGCCGTCAACAGCTATATCTAGAGGGGGGGTTAGGAGGCGGTTGGGATGGGATGGGGCCGTTTCTGGATTGGGGAGGTTGGGGTCCGAGGACACAAGGGCACCACCAGGGTTGCAAGACCCGGGTTACGTGTTCGGGTTCCTCGTCATCCAACCCACATTTATCTTGCACCCACCATCGATCGTTGCAAATCCGCTGCTGTGCATTTCACTAGGAAGCCCGCGCTCACCTGTGTGCAGGGTGGTGACGTCGTAAAACTCCTCAAACGCCTCCCGCAAAGCGCCCACGCTGTTGACGAAGTCCACCACACACAGCAGGGAGGAGCTCTTACCCAGAGCCGGGGCGGGTCGGTTCAGGCGACCGAGCACCTGTACGGCACGCGCGCCAGACAGCGTCCTGCACACACCACATAGCACACAGCACATATCATCTCGTACGTCACCTAATTCTGCGGATGTGAAATCGCGGATGACAACGCTGCAAAGTAACCCACTACAGGGCGAGGATCTCGGCATCACGGGTGTTCACGAAGTGTTGGGATTGGATTTTGGAATTTGGGGAAACCGGAAAGCACTTGGGGAACTGTGCAGCACTTGGGGAGCTGGTTCCGATGGCGCGGCGCGGCAGCCGTACCTGTCGATAAACATGGCGCCGAGGCGCGGGTCGTCGTACCCTGTTTCGTACTTGGAGCAAACCACCAGCAGCCTTGCAGCGCCGGGGTCCGCGCCGCGGCCGTTGACGTCAGCCTCGGTGACATGTACGGCAGCATGCTGTGTCACGGTGTCACCTCCCTCGCCGCCACGATCACCGCCACAGCGGCCGAGGCCGTCATCTTGAGTCTGAGGGCCCCCGGCAGATGACGACATGGCGCAAGTCATGCGACGAGGCCGGGAGCTGACGGCGGCAGCGGCGGCGGCGGCACCGCTGCCGCCTTCGGCCCTCGCCGCCGCGTCTACCTCCGCCTCAGCATCCCCGGCGGCGGCGGCGGCGGCGGCCACGGAAGCTGGCGTCATCGCTCTGGACGATACCGTCAACCGGCTGGCTTCACGCCGTACACGGACGCCGCCTGATGACGGCTCCGCCGAGCCACGCCGCTGCTGCCGCCGCAGCACAGCAGCGGCTCCTGAGTCCGGCGCTGACGTCACCATATCGCTACCGAACAATGAGCTACAGCCTGCGACACCGCCGCCGCCGCTACAGCCGCCGCCGCTACAGCCGCCGCTCCCTACCACCTTACCACCGCCACCGGCGCCCTCCCCTCGCTCAGCGGCAACCTCCTCGCTGCCGGATGCGCTCTCGTCGCTGCTCTCCTCGCTCTCCCCTTCGCTATCTCCCCCCTTTCCACTCCCTTCCTCACTCCCGCTCCTCCATTCGCTGCCACTGCTGCTACTGCTGCTGCTACTGCCACTCTCGACCTCACTCTCACCGCCGCTGCCGCTCGAACTGCCCTCAACACCACCGCCACTACCGCTGTCGCTGCCGCTACCGGTAACTTCATCCCCGTCCTCACGCCCGGCGCTGTACGGGGCGTCGTCAACACTACCACCATCCGCACCGTCGTTGCCGCCGCCGCCGCCGCGGCGGCGCCCGCATGCCGGTTGGGGTTCGGAACCTCCAACCAGTGGTTTGGGCTCCAGCGGTTCAGGCGGCTGCGACTGCAGCACCTGCCCCTCGTGTTCAGCCGACCCATGGTTCGCTCCCATTCCGTCTAAATGCGACAGGGCCGCTTCCCAACCGTTTGCCGCGCGGCCACTACCGGCTCGGCGCCGCTTCTTGCCACCACCGCCACCGCCACCGCCACCACCGCCACCGCCACCGCCACCGCCACCACCGCTCCGCCGTCTGCGCTTCTTGGCTGGTGCGCCCTCTCCCGCTTCCCTCACTCCCGGAGACCCCTCCGTGCCCGAACGACCTGAGGGCGAGGGGGACATCAGCCCCGAAAGGGAACGAAGCGGGGGGCCAGAAGGGGGGGAAAGGCGAACCACAAACGAGTGAACGGGCGGGGGGAGGCGGCCTCGTCAAAAGTGCACCTCCCGAGTCCCGAGAGGCCTTTCTGAACGGCAATTCCCACGCCACGCACCGCGCACTTCCGCTCCCGTACGAGAACGACCCGACGTGTGAGTCGTCTTATATCAATCCGTAGCGTGTACCTGTGTGGTACAGCGTCTAGATGTACGAACGGCCTCCCTGTAGGAATGGCCGTACGCTGGGGCGCCGTGGGTCGTAACCCCACGTCGTGGGCGCATCGAACTGCACACCGGCATTCCCCCCCCGGCCGTGGACCCCTTACCCGGGGCGCCCTCGGCTGCATCAACGGGGGCAAGCGCACCGTCGCCGCCGCCGCCGCCGCCGCCGCCGCTGTCCACCGCAGGGCCAGCGGCACCGCGTCCGCCTCCTCGGCCACGTCCCGGTGTCGGGTGCCGCCACTGGCGGCACTGCCCGCGTAGCGCTTCCGCCTCCGCTGCCGGTACGGCAATGGTTCCACTGAAGGCTCCGAAGATACACGGGCCTCGCCGACTGGCGGCAGCGTCCCGCGGGTCGGCGGCCGCTGCAGCCTCTGCCGGACAAGATGCACGTCGTACACCGCGCGGGAAATATCACATAATTATATAATGGGGGGGATGGAATTACCAGGGCCCTGTAGCTTCGGTTGGGGACGGGGGGAGAGGACTGGGACCCCTTCGTACATTGACAGAGCTCGGAAGCCTTCGGAGGAATGGACGACGTAACATGATACGACACGGCACACGGTACGACACCCGGTCTCTGCTGCGCGAGTATCAGAGGACAGCCCGCAGACCTGCCAGCCGCTGGAACTCCGGCTCGTCCGCCACCGCCCGCCTCAGAGCCTACGACAAGTACGACAGGTGGGGGTGCGGGTGGGGGCAGTACGGTCAGCCTGGCTAAGATGGCCAAAAACAAACGGTGGACCCCTGATGGCGGCAGCTGACGGGCGTGTGGGTATGTCGTACAACAGACCGCGACTCCAGCTCGAAGGCTGTCCCCCTTTTTACACCCCCTCCAGCCCCCTCCAGCCCCCCTCCAGCCCCCCTCCTGCCTGCACGAACCACACCACGTGCCGGCGGCTCCTGGCGACGACCATCCCGCGGAAGGAGGTGAAGCCCGCGCAGGAGGCGGCCGTGCGCCACATGCCCACGAAGCGCTGCACGATGTAGGTGGCCTGAGGATGGGGGGGGGGGCCCGAGAGGAAGGGGGGAAGCGGGGGGGAGAAGAAGACGGCGCGTTCATGGGGGAGGGGGGAAAGTAGGAATGTGGGGAGGAGGTGCGGGCGGGAATATAGGATGGTTCAAAAAGTGACACACCAATATGCGTTGACGTAAAACCCACAGGCAGGTGGGGGGGAAGCCCACGCGGACACAGCTCTTGGAGACACTCCCTAGGCCGTACACTTTGCCGTACACACCTTGCGCTCCACTACATCCCGGCTGTTGGAAGCCGCTTCCAAGAGGACCTCCTCCGAAATCCCATCAATGCTGGACGTACTTGGATCCATATCATGCCGTACATCCTGCCCGGATTCGTCCGGATCCGGTATCATTGCGCGATAGCTGGATCCCTGACGGAGCCCAGCGATCCGCAGGCGTGGCGTAACCGCCGTGTACGACCGCAGAACGTCGAGTACGAAACCGTCTTGTACGGCGCTGCGCATGGTGTATGCATGAAAGGGCGTGTACAACAGCGCGATTTCCCCGGATGCGGCGGGGGTCCCCCTCTCACCGCCCTCAAGCAGCTGCTCTATCTCCGGCCGTCTCGAGGGTGCAGCCCGCCGCCCAGGTGCCGCCGCCGCCACCGCCGCCGCCACCGCCGCCGCCGGCGGAGGTAATTCCCCCCGTCGCTCCTGCTGCTGCTGCCGCTGCTTCTTCTCTTCGCGCGTAGAGGTCTTCCCGCCAGCGCCGTCTCCACCATCGCCTTCACCGTGCCCTCCCTCGCCGCGCTCCTCCTCATCACCGCCCCCGTCAGAAGCGGCCCACGGGTCGGTGTGCACCTCCCGGGACACACCGAACAGCTGCAGCGCCTGCGTACGGCAGCAGCAGTAGCAGTGGCAGTAGCAGCACTTACGGCAGCAGGTATTTTAGCAACAGTGCCGTACAATCCGCCAGGTGCACCCTCCTACCCCGCCCTGGTCGGGCCCCACATTTCCCCGGAGTACTCCCGACCCCTCCACCGCAACCCACAGGGCCCTATGCGCTCGTGGGAGACCCTAGAGATCCGTACTTCGTACAACGAATGCCCGAAAACTGCGGCGGCTACCTTTACCCCCCTCCGGGGAAAGCGACCACAAAGGCCAACCCCAAATCCCCCCGCAACCCCCCCAACCCCCTTGCCGCAGCAGCAGTCTTTCCTTTGCATCAGCTTCACTCGCTTGTGGTTCGTCTTCCCCCCCCCACAACCCCCTTCTTCATGCAACTGATCCCTCCGTGCTTTTCCCCGCTCCCGGGGGGGCCCTGAGTAATACCGTGGCCTTGCCCTTCTCTTTCTCTTACACACACATACACACACATACACACCTTTGGGCTGGGCGTGGCGGTGAACCCCAAGTACGTGAGGCCCCGGGGCTGCTGTCGGAGCTGTGGCCGATTGGCCGAGACACCGCCACCAACACCACTGCTACCGCCGCCATTACCGCCGCCGCCACTACACCGCCCTCGTGGCGTGTCTCCGAAACCGGCTGCTCCCAGCGCGCCCGCCAGGATCTGATGGATCTGGTCTGTCGTGCCATGGCCGTGGTGGCGGTGCGCCTCATCCGCGATGACCGCGATCCGGTTCTGATCGTGCGTACGTGTGCATGGGGGTTGGAGAGGGGTTTAACATCATGGTGGAGTTGGTAGCCGGTGGGGGCAATCATGCCGAGGGGGGGAGTGGCCATTCCGAGAAAGGGGGGTACGGCGGGGAGGAGGGGAAATGGCCAGGAGGAGGGGGGAGAGTTTGCGGGTTTGTGGAGCATCACCCCACCCGGTTTGGTCCCGTCAGGTCGGAGGGTTTGGGGGGGGCCCGCTGGAGGCGCTCAGGATGCCGCAACAACATGGGGGTGAGGGGGGCGGTGGAGGAGAGGCAGAGCAGTGGCACCAACCACAGCAGCAGCAGCAGTGGCACCAACCACAGCAGCAGCAGCAGTGGCACCAACCACAGCAGCAGCAGCAGCAGCAGCAGCAGCAGCAGCGGAGGCGATATGACGCCCCGGGTACAACTGCCGCCAGACAACCTCCCCCCCCACACACGCACAATGATGTAGGACATGACATCTGAGACATGGACCTTCCCCCGACCACCTCACGCACCAGCCCACCAGCCCACCGGCCGCCGCAGCCACTTCCTCCCGCCGCCTGCTCCTCCTCCTCCTCCTCCTCCTCCAGGTCCCCAGTCCGCGGCGGCTGTGGTGGCGGTCTCCCCCCACCCGCCCTCCTCCTCCACAGGGCCGCCAGCTTCTGCATCGTGGTGAGCACCAGTACGGGTCTGCGCGGGCTGCCCTCCCTGGAGGCGGAGAGGAAGCCGGACAGCTCCGAGGTGGTGGAGGCGCGGCGGAGGCCACCAGGAGCTCGACCGTTACCTGAGACCGTGTAGCAGTAGCAGCAGTGGCAGCAGTAGCAGTAGCGGTAGTGGGAGGTGGTGGGAGGGCTGTAGGGGGGTTTATGAGGAAATGGGAATAAAATTACAACGCTAAACATTCCTATGGTGGTGGCGGTGGTGGCGGTGTTGGCGTTGGCGGTGATGGTGATGGTGATGGTGATTCATGCAGCAGCCCACTGCCCCTCACACAACCCCACCCGGCCCACACGTCACCCCCGACATCAGCTCGCACCCACCCGCCCAGAACGCCTCCACACACGCCCCCAGTTGCGCATCCAGCTGCAGTCGGTCGTTGACCACCAGCACGGTGCCCACCCGCCCACCGGCGCAGTCCCCCCAGCCGCACAGCGACACGGCCAGGGCGGCGATGGTGAAGCTCTTGCCGCTGCCCGTGGAGTGCTG